GCTCAAGGCGCGGGCGCTGAAGATCCGGGAGGAGCGGAGCGGCATGACCACGGACGACGACGCCGTCAGCGAGATGAAGATGGGCCGGTACTGGAGCAAGGAGGAGCGCAAGCAGCAGCTGCTGCGGGCCCGGGAGCAGCGCCGGCGCCGGGAACTCATGCTGCAGAGCCGGCTCGACTGGCAGCGGGAGGCGGGGGGCCCGGGGGCCCCCGACCAGCTCACCATCCTGGCCCTCAGCCACCGCAAGAGCCTCAAGAAACGCAGCCGGCGCATCCTAGACAATTGGATCACGATCCAGGAGATGCTGGCGCACGGCGCCCGCTCGGCTGACGGGCACCGGGTCTACAACCCGCTGCTGTCCGTCACCACCGTCTGAGCGGGCGGGGCCAGGCCTGCAGACTCGCTTTCTCCCCCATGTGCCAGGATTTGGGGGTGAGCCTACCTCCCCCACGTCGCCACCATCGGAGGACCCGGGGCCCCCCACTTTTCCAGGGCTGGGGGAGCCCCCATCCCGACAGAGCAGGAAAGAGGGGGGCCCCTGGTGCTGCTCCTGGACATGCCTGGCTGCAGAGACAATGGGGAGATTTGGGGAGTCCCCCAATGCTGCTCCAGCCCCCCCTGCCCTACAGGGACCCCCCAGGATCGGAACCGGGGGCGTGAAGCACAAAGACACTCAGTCAGGCGCGGGGAGGAGGGGGGGACAAAGGCCCCTCCCAGATGCTCCCCCCCAGGGTGGTTTTTATGTCGTGTCTGTGATTCGTGTCTGGTCAGTTCATCGTTTGTCTGAGTCTGGCAGGGGAGACACCTGCCCCCTCCCCCCCCCCAGCAGATCCCGAGACCCCCACTTCCCCCTGAACCCCCAGATCCCACTGCCCCCGAGCCCCACACTTCCCCCTGATCCCTCCGAACCCCTGATCCCACTGCACCCCACTGTCCCCTCCCCCCAGCAGATTCCAAGCCCCCCCTTCCCCCTGAACCCAGATCCCACTGCTACCAAGCCCCCCACTGGCCCCCACCCCCCAGCAGATCCTGCCACCCCTGAGCCCCCCACTTCCCCCTCCTCCCCCCAGCAGATCCCACTGCCCCCGAGCCCCCCACTGCCCCCCAAACACCAGCCCTCCCACTTCCCTCCCAGAGCGGGGAGAGAACCCAGGAGTCCTGGCTCCCAGCCCCCCCCTGCTCGTGACCCACCAGCCCCCACTCCCCTCCCAGAGCCGGGAGAGAACCCAGGAGTCCTGGCTCCCAGCCCCCCCTGCTCTGACCCACCATCCCCCGTCCCGCCCCGATCTGTGATGTCTGTGTGCACAGCTGCCGGAGCGGGGGCAGGGTCTGCCGGACGCCTGGGTCCGGAGCCGAATCTGCCTGGTCAGAATAAAGCAAAACCTTTTTACTCCTTTCAGGCGGCTGCGTCCGGAGCCTTTTCTGTCCGCGAACCCCGCCCCCCCCCGCCTGGGCCCGGGACCCAGAAGCTGGGCTGCCCCCCCCCCACACGGGAATGGCCCCCCAGGGGTCTCAGCTTCCAGCCCCCCCCCCCACACTCTAACCACCAGATCCCACTCCCCTCCCCTCTCCTCCCCTCCCAGAGCCGGGGAGAGAACCCAGGAGTCCGGGCTCCCAGCCCTGCATTAGGGGTGGTGATTGTCTGGCTGGCTGGCTGGGGAGGGGGGGGGGGCGAAAAAACAAGGAAACAATTTTATGGTGATTCCGGCTGCCCAGTGAAGCTGCAACAGGAAATTCCAGCCCCCCAGGCGTTGCCCCCCACTCCCGCCCCGCGGCGCCCCCCACTCCCGACCCGCAGCTCCGCCGGCGCCCCTCGCTCCCGACCCGCAGCCCCTGCTAGCCTGGTCCTGGGCTCCCCCCAGCTGTGACCACCAGCTCCCAGCCCCACCCCCCTCC